AGGGCAGTGGTTGGGGGGAGGTAGGAGGAGGGAGGGGCTGCAGGGCAGGGAGTGAGTAGAGATCCTAGGGAGTAAAGATCTTGAACACTGGTGCAGAACATGGCAGGGGGGTGGGGGATGGGGGAGGGGAACATTGGGACGGGGATTGGGAGGGGAGAAGTGGGGAGGCCTGGGTTTGCAGCCCAGCTCTGCCCCTAGCAGCCTGGGCATGTGGTTTCTTCTGGGCCTCTCTTTTCCTCGTCTGTAAAATGGGGTTGGTAAAAATAGTGGTGCCCTCAGAAAGCTGTCCCGAGGGTGGGATGAGTTTATCCAGGTGAAGGCTTAGAACAGAGGTGCTTGGCCCACGGGCACTCCTCATAGCGGCTGGTTATTGTTACTGCCTTTGGTGAAGAAAAGGGAAAGTTGAAACAGACAGATGGGAAGGGTCTTGATACCCAGCAGAGGAGCGCCTTCCCACGACCTCAAACACGGTCATGGGATCGTGGGTTAATTTTCACGAGCACCAGGGAGAATATGACAGGCCCTGCTTTTGGAACTTGAGCAAGAAATCTCTGTGCCTCAGTTTACTCGTCTGTGGGATGGGGATTGCTATGAGGGTTAATTTTTTTTTAATGGGCTAGGAACTGTTCCAGGCCTTTGCATGAGTAACTCATGAAATGTCAAGTGCTTGGAAGAGTGCCTGGCACACAAGTCACAACCAAAGGCAGCTCTTGTCACTCCAGCAAGCCTGGGATTCTGGGTTTTACGGTTTAGGATGAGGGTAAAACAGAAACAGTGAGTCAACTTAAGGAGAAATCTTCAGTAAATAATAACACAGGTAATGATGGGGAAGGAACCGAGGGAAGCCCCAGGTTTGGGGATCACCAGAATGATGGTCAAGACATCCTCAAGGTGGTTTTGGAGTCAGACAGACCTTGTGTGAAAGCCCAGCTCTGTGGCTTACAGTTGTGTGACCTTGGGCCAGTCACTGCCCCTCTCAACTTCCAGGACTCAGCCCTCCTGTCCTCTACAAAGCCCTCTCTGAGCCACAGCCTCAGACTCAGATACCCTTTCTGGGCTCCCCTTCTGGGCTCCCCCATCCCAACCCTGCCTGCTCTGGGTCATCGCTGTAGGAGCTTTACCTGCATATTGTCATTGCCTGGGATCCCATCATTATCCTCAGTTACAGACAAGGAAACTGAGGCATAGACTTGCCCAAGGCCACCAAGCTGCTCAGGGACAGAGCTGGGATTTGAACCTGGCCATCCTGTATCTTTCATTGATCCCCCCGCCTCTGCTGCTGAGGGATTTGCTGAATGACTATACAGGCCCGAGGTGATCTGTCCCTTTTGCTCCTCTCCCCAGCCAAGCCCCACAGCACAGTTGAGGCCCAGGAGGTCCCACTCAGCCCGCTCACCCGGGGGCCTGTGCCTGTGGCCCGCTGCATCTCCACAGGGGGCCGCCCACCTGCCCGAATCACCTGGTCCTCACACCTGCACGGGATGGCCAATAAGAGCCAGGTGCCCGGGCCCCTGCCCAGCACGTTCACCGTCACCAGCCTCTTAACCTTGATGCCCTCAAGCCAGGCAGATGGCAAGAATGTCACCTGCAGGGTGGAGCATGAGAGCTTTGAGGAGCCGGAGCTGCTGCCTGTGATCCTCACCCTGCGCTGTGAGTGTGCCCAAGAGTGAGTGAGAGCGAGGCCACTGCCAGCCTGCCTCCACGCCACCCTGTCTACACCGACTCCCCAGGCCACTCTCGCCACTGCCTCCACCGTCGGCACCAGCTCCCCTGGCTGTTGTCTTCACACCCCACCCTAAGAGTCTACACCGGCTCCCATGGGCCATGAACAACACTGTCCCTATTGTCTACACCAGCTATATAGGCCATAGTCGGTGCTCCCCAGGTTGTGTACCCCGGCTTCCCTCGCCACCGTCTTCATTGGTACCCCACACGTTGCCTACACCTGCTTCCCTGGGCAACTGTCTACACTGCCCTTCCCCACATTGCTACACTGGTTCTCCTGGCACTGTCATAACTGCTTCCCCCTTGTCTACACCCACCCTGTTCATTTTCTGTACTGCTTTACCATCGTCTACACCAGCTATGTAGGCCATCAGTTGTGGGGGCTGTCACTGCTCCCCGTGCCGTCTGGCTTCGTGACAACTATTTACATGGACACCCTACTTTTTCTACACTGGTTCTCCAGACATTGGTTCTCCCGCCCCCCAACATTGTCTACACTGATTCCCCTGGAGAACTGTCTACACTGACAATTCCCCTGAGCCACAGCTGACTGCACTGGGTGCTAGCTGTACTGACCCTCCCCACATCCTTTACACTGGCTCCCGCGGGCAGTGTCTACGTCGTCCCATAGTGTAGTCCACACTCCCCTCTGTCCCACATTGGAGGCTGGCTCATACAATACTGTCTACACACGTGTGTGTGTGCGTGCGTGCACACACACAGCCTGTCTCAATTCACCAGCTCCCTGGGACACACTCTACCCCCCCCACACACACACACACATTTTCAACACTGGATTCCCTGGGAACTGACGGTTCCCCTGCAGAGTAGCGTCTACTGTAATATCCCAATGCACTGGCCCCACTGAGCCCTTCGCTATCTGCACAAGCTCTTCTACACGATCTATTCTGTCTCTCCCATCCTGTCTGTATTGGCTACCGACCCCCCAGGCAGTTAGTAAACTGTTCTCTCTGGCACTGTCTACACTGACTCCCACCCCTCTCCTCCCTTCCACCAAAAAAAAAAGTCCTGTCTCGCTGGGCTATCTCCTCTTTCCTCCTGAAGCCTTTGAGAAGTCTTCCCGCCGATCACGTTTGGGATGCACGAAAGCAGCAGCCTGAGGCAGGGCCACCCAGGACTCTCTTCTGCAAGACCTGTCAGAGTCTTGAATATGCTCCTGTGTGTTACGAGTGTCCATGAGGC